CGACACCACAGGCGACGGCTGGGAACAAGGACGAAACCCTAATCTTCACTTCACTTCATCTTCAACTTCAGGGCGGAGAAACTATATATATATTTATATAGGGCAAGGGTGAGTACTTTCGTACTCAGCAAGTCACGGGAACTTAGGTGTTTAATGCAAGCTTGGAAGAGAGGCAAGGTTGTTTTGCAAATCTTTTATTTGAAGACATTTGAAATCACTAAGTGATTTATTTCTTTCTAAGTTTGGGCGAAAAGAGACTTGCGTCTCGATTCGACTTTAAGAGATGCTTTTCAACAGCTCATTTAGTAATGTACCGACCTCCCGGGTCAGATCATTACTTCTCGGCTCCCAGAGCCATTCCACTTGATTAATCGGCTCCCAGAGCCTTTTTCATTTTCTCGGACTCCCAGAGTCCAGCTGCCCAGCAGCACAACAATCCGCTTCCACTCGGGAAGCCTAGTCTATGATACCCGCAGACATCCCGAATCACACAGATTCGTTTCTGACCACTCAGGTCATCCATCTGCCACATAGGCTGATTCTGGTTACGATTCCCACACCACAACAACTTTTCACAAAGCACAGGCAAACAAATCTACGCAACGGGAACCACCTCACATCCGCCCATGACCGTGGGCACGGCTGTTCGAATAGTTAGTTAACCTCTGCAGAGGGGTACACTTTACCCACAAGACACGAACTTACTCCAGACACTGGCCGGTGTCAGAGGTTCGCGACAAAGCCTTTCCCAAGCCGACCCAGGGATACCTCATGCCACATAGAAGGATCAAATCCTCACATAAACATAGGCCATTTTAGGCGTTCACAAATCAAACTCCAACCACCTCGATCGGTAATTCAGCAAGCTTCTCGTTCTTGCATTACCAGGAACCCGGTTTGGCTCCAACCGACCCCGCCCCGGCGTTCCCAACTATTGGCATGCGAGGTTTCCCTGAACCGACTAGCTACTTAGCCAGGGTGTCCCATTCCACCTTGTGGTTGCACTTTGATTATGTTCGATGAGTTTCCCACAGGAATCGGTCCTTATATGCGAATACGGGACAATGCCACATAGGCACAACCCCCGCATCGCGAGTTTTCACAATTCATTTTATTTTCAAACACACCGACACCACATGTCGGGTTTTGAAGGCTTCACAAACCCATTTCCCAAGTTTTCGACAAGCAACGGTGTATGTGGGATATTTGGTATACGCGCTCAGAGAGCACGAATACCGAGGTACCACAAGGGTGGAGCGACAAGGAATCAGGGTAGTACGACCTACGGAAATTAGTGCGACTACTGGGTAGGTCCGTCGGTTTGGCACGCAAACCGAGGCCAAGCAAGTTAAGTGTGTGAGTCTAATAATGCCAGTTGTAAACAAAATAATAATGACTTTTCAATTATAGGGGCAATTGATCAAAGGGTGACTTGCCTTGCTCAAAGTCTTCACGAAGCTTCACGAATCTTCGAGAAAACCCGCGATCGACGAAAATCCGGTAACCGCAACTATACGCAAACAATCGAAAACCTAAACAAGGACCAAAAGAAAGATCCTATTTAGACTAATTAGTAGTGCCATTAAATAGATCTCAATTTTACGGAATTACTGGAAGTGGAACGGAGTCAATCGGATGAGCGGTTGAGAAGATATGGATTTTCTAAGGATTAAGGAAATGTTTTGTCGGAATTTATGGAAATAATATTCTCAAGAATATTATTGACAGTCACTGACCAAGGAAAATGATTCATGGAATTTTGGAATAAGAATTGATTTCTGAAAGAGGGAAAAATGATTTATTGAATTTATAGAAAAGAGAAATATTTGTGGAATATTGGAAAAGATATTCTCAAGAGTGTCTTTGACTCATTGACAAGTGGGGCCAACAAGAAGTGAGAGTGAGAGAGGATAGATGGGCTGCGGTCCAATGGGTGGCGGATGTGGTAGGGGGAGGACGAGGGAGCAAAGTTAGACTTTGTTCCACGGCAGCTGGTTTGGAAGAGGGAGGTGACATAGACTTTGTTCCAAGGAGCGAGGAGAGAGGTGAGGCCCATCGGCTAGCGAGAGAGAGAGAGGAGATGGGCCGGCTCGGGTTGGGCGGGGCCGAGCCGAGCCAGGCCTGCGCGCGCGGGCGACGCTGACCGGTCGCTGCTTGACTCGGTCAAGCGGGGCCGGCGGGCCAGGGTGGCGGCCACGTTGGCACGGGAGAGAGAGAGGGAAGGAGCCGGGCCGGAGATCGGACGGCTCACGGCGCGCGGCGGAATCCGGCGAACAGTGGCAATCCGGAGCGAGTGGCGGCCACCGGAAGCGAGAGGGGGTTACGGAGGTTCCATCCACCGGCTCGGATGTGGGAGTGGAGGCGCGACGGAGGCCGGCGACGGCGGCCGTGCGGCGGCGGAATGGGTGGCATGGCGCGGGAGCAAAAGAGGAGGCCGGCGGCGGAATTGGCGGTTTGGGGTGGTTCATTGGAGCTCAAGGTGGGTGGCGGCGAGGTGATTCGGCGCGGGACCGACCGGCGGCGGCGCGCGACTGCGCACGGCGGCGGCGGAAGCAAAGCATCGGCAAGGGCGCGATTTGGAGGACGAACGCACAAACTACCATGCCCCAGTGCTGTTTAGGAGTCGCTAGAGGGTATAGACGAGAGGATTTGGGCGGGGAGCTCACCCATGAGCGGGAACGGCGGGGCGGATGGAGTCGCGACGAGGCAGACGCGACGGCGGGGCGGCATGGCGCGGAGAGCGAGAGGGGAGGCCGGCGGCCATGGGGCAACAAGGGGGAGATCAAGGGGATTCCCGTGAGCGTGGTGGCGAGAGGGATTTGACAAGAGGGGAGCCGACAGCGGCGGATTTCGACGGCGATCGTCGGCGGCGAGCAAAGGGGGAAAACTTCACCGGGGCAACGGGGGTTCGATTCGTTGGAGCGGGAGCATCTACGCGAGGTCGCGAGCTCATTCTACCGGTCGAGAGGGCACGGGCGACGCCGAGAGAGGCCGGCGACGGCGAGCGACGCCCAGGACAGAGCAAGGGCGCGCGGCGAGATGTGACGAACGGCGGCGGGCGCGGCGCGGCGCGCGACAAGGGAAAAGGGGTTCAGTGGGGAGCTCACCGACGAGAGAACGGTGTCGGCGGCGCGGATGGAGTCGCGGCGAGGCGGACGCGTCGGCGGGGCGGCGCGGCACCGAGAGGGCGCGGCCGGGGAAGAAGAGATGGAGAGGTGCGAGGATGGGGCGGCGCGGAGCTCCTTGTCGACTCCTCGTGCTCGCTAGCTCTCCGACACGCACGACGGCAGAGGAGGGCGAGAACGACAACGAACGGCGAGGCGGCAGTGGTGTGAGGGAGGAGAGGAAGCGGGAGGTATGGGAGGGGGTGTGGGTTTTGTAGGTGGCGATGTCGGTTTGAGAGAACCGACATTGGGGCGGTCAAGGAGATGAGGCAGGTGGCGCGAGCGGTCAAGCGGCACAGAGGTGGTGACGCCGGCGGTGGTCGGGGAAAAGGAAAAAGAAGGGGGAAAGGGGCTTGGTCCCTTGCCATAATGAGGAGAGGGAGAGTGAGGAGGAGGAGGAGAGGGAGAGCAGCTGCTTCTCCTACTCTTGGACGGGTGCGGCGTGGAGTGGCGGGGGCTATGGATGACGTCGACGATGACGGCGGCGGTCGGTTTGGAATGGAGCGGGGGCAAGGCGGCAGCGCGTGGCGTCGGCGGTGCAAGGGCTGATGGCGGCGGCAACCGAGCGGCGAGCGCGTGCGCGGGAAGGGCGACCGGCGAATTCAAACGGCGGCGGCGGGAATCGGCGCCGAGGAGAGGAGTTCGACGAGAGAGAGAGAGAGAGAGAGAGAGAGAAAGAAGACGAGAGAGCGAGCGCTCGCGAGGGAGGAAGGAGCGGCTGAGGGAGAGAGATGGGCCGAGGAAAAAGAAAAAAAAACGGCCCACAATAACCGAGGGAGGTAAAGTAGACTTTTTTCGAGGAAATTGATTCGAAGAGAATTTGAACTTGGAATTTGACTTAGATTTTGGAATTGGGATCTCGATGAGAGGAAGGAGTAGACGGAGGATTCAAGATGGGGTTTTGGATATTTTGGATCTGGGGAAGTATTTGGCGATGATTCAAAGAGAGGGATAGAATTTCAGAGTTTGATTTGGAGACTTGAGTCGGAAGAGGAATTTCGAGGGGGCAATTTTTGATGGTGACGAGAGGGATCAAGGACGGATTTGAATTGAGATCTTGGCACAACTTAGACTCGCACACAAAGAACGAAAATTTTCGCAATTAGGATTTTTGCTGAATTAGTTTTTAACGACTCACGAAAAGCGGAGCGTTACAGTTTCGGTCCAGTTCCCAAGTCGCGCCTGTGATGATTGGTCCAAGTCATGGCTTCCGCTTTCCCTTTTGTAATGCAGTTGTGAGCTCGGGATCTGTCCGCAGCCCAACATGACTGTAGTCCTACTCTGTAATAAAGAGACCTCTGTTGCTGTGATATTCTGTCTTCCTGTGATATCAGCACTGTTTTATGGGACTGGTATCGATTAACAGGTTAATTTAGAGCGTCACGGGCTAGTTCCGTTCGGGGCTAGTTCGGGGCGTGACAATATGTTAGGGTGTGACAGTTAGTTATGGAACTGCTGTGAGAAAGTGAGCTACCCATGGAATCATAAGCACGATAAATCTTGAATTGCTTGGTGATTTAATTTATTAGACTATTATCCTTTTAGACCTTTTGTTTGTAGCTAATTGGAGGTATGTATGAATTACACACTTCTAAAAATACGATTTCTCCAGAAACTTTCTATGTTAGTATTGATTAGATAACCTTTTTATAAGCTACTTGTAATTTTATATCTTTAATATTTAACTAATCCATGTATATATTAATTTATCGGCTAACCAGCTAGCTGTTTCGAACCGGTAGGTGACAACAGGCATCCTGCCCTTTCATCGTTTTTTTGCATCGGTAGGTAACAGCTGGTTTTATGTATTACTCGACTTTGTATAAATAGGAGAGCATGCATGTTTCATCAATCAGTTATCTTGTAGCTAGCTACCTGATCGAACTCGGGAAAATTATTTAAGATGGCAGCACAGGGTGTTACCTCCGTGCTAGCGGTTGTATTGGTCATCGGAGCCTTCGTGTCCATCCCTACAGGTATATATATGCAAAATTTGATCAATCATCAGTTTAATTACATTAATTGAACACTAGAAAAGTATGAAGAAATTTGATCGGTCTCTTGATTTGCATTTCTCGCACGTATGCACGGTGCATGAATATAATTGATCAACACGTACGTACACTAGTGCAATCCATCGGCGTGTGCTACGGCGTGAAAGGGAACAACCTCCCGCCGCGGAGCGAGGTGGTGCAGCTGTACAAGTCCAAGGGCATCAACGGGATGCGCATCTACTACCCCGACAAGGAGGCGCTCAACGCCCTGCGCAACTCCGGCATCGCCCTCATCCTCGACGTCGGCGGCTTCGACACGGTGTCCTATCTCGCCGCCAGCTCCTCCAACGCGGCCGCGTGGGTCCGTGACAACGTCAGGCCCTACTACCCGGCCGTCAACATCAGGTACATCGCCGTCGGCAACGAGGTGGAAGGCGGCGCCACGAATAGCATCCTCCCGGCCATCCGCAACGTCAACTCCGCCCTGGCCTCGTCGGGCCTCGGCGCCATCAAGGCGTCCACCGCGGTGAAGTTCGACGTCATCTCCAACTCCTACCCACCCTCCGCCGGCGTCTTCAGGGACGCCTACATGAAGGACATCGCGCGCTACCTGGCGAGCACCGGCGCGCCGCTGCTCGCTAACGTGTACCCGTACTTCGCCTACAGGGGGAACCCGCGCGACATCAGCCTCAACTACGCCACGTTCCGGCCGGGCACCACGGTGAGGGACCCCAACAACGGGCTCACCTACACCAACCTGTTCGACGCCATGGTCGACGCCGTGTACGCCGCGCTGGAGAAGGCCGGCGCGGGGAACGTGAAGGTGGTGGTGTCGGAGAGCGGGTGGCCGTCGGCGGGAGGGTTCGGGGCGAGCGTGGACAACGCGAGGGCGTACAACCAGGGGCTGATCGACCACGTCGGGCGTGGCACGCCCAAGAGGCCGGGGCCACTGGAGGCGTACATATTCGCCATGTTCAACGAGAACCAGAAGAACGGGGATCCCACCGAGAAAAACTTTGGGCTCTCCTACCCTAACAAGTCGCCCGTGTATCCCATCCGCTTCTAGTACGTTTAATTAAGCTAAAAAAGCTAGCTGCACACATAGCAGTGTTCTTTTTAATTCCCGAATAAGACACACAGGGCAGTGGTAACTACTCGTCTACTCCAATGAAGTACTGCGCGACAGTACTATATATACGTGTGCATGCACACTTTTCAATGTATACTACTTTAAAAAGGCTACCAATAATGTCCTAAGTTGATATTCTCTTTTTCGGGTTGATAATACTTGTCGTTTATTTTGGATAAGGGCACAGTCTTTAAAAATTAACTTTGACAATTATGTTCTGTTATAATATGTATAAAAGTGTTAACAAATATATGATTTTATTAAATTACTTTTCAAGACTAATCTATCCATGTAGTTACAATATTTGAAAGATAAATATTTTAAAAAGATTCATAATCAAAGATTCTAAAGATTGATCTTACCCTTATCTAAAACGATAAATATTATCAGCCCGGAACGAGTATAATATATAATAATGAATAAAGTGAAGGAAATGTCTTTCCTCGTTACTACCTACTAGGATGTGCATTCGATCTCCACAGTCACATGAACTTGGGGTGTACGTGTTCGGCCTTCGGCGCGAACGATTGGGAGGGGCCAACCGGCCGAGGACCCGACAAACGATTGGTCTGGTAGCCCAAGGCGGCCTAGACCCGAGCAAAAATATGCAACACGCCGCTTATGTGCATGGGCCATTTGGCGACATTACGCAAAGAAAGAAGTTCAATTAGACTCCCCCAACTATAGTTCGAATCTGATTCTTACCGTTCAACCATAAAACCATTATAATAGCTCCTCCAAGTACTTTAAAACCGCGCAGAATAACTCCCTCAGCAGTATTGATCAGTATTGATGGTGGTTTTCGCTGGCGTGACTGAGTCTCCGACACGTGGCATTGAAAACAAAAATAAAAAGGAAAAAATATATTAAACCCACATGTAAGTGAGGTACCATTACCCCTATTACCCTTCTTTTTTTATCTCTACTGGCGCTCCTTCTCAAGATGAGCGGCGGGCCGAGCTTGGGACGACTGTTGGAAGAAAGCGATTGCGGGGAGGCGGCAGGAAGAAGGCGCCTAGGACGGTGGAATCGAGACGGTGGGGAGAGAGAACTTGGCTTTGGTAGGGGAAGAAGAGGACCATGCACACCGGTGACGGAGCTCCACTACATTGCATGTGACCTCAATCACGCTGGCCAGATATGCGGTGCAGTCGAGCTTGCCGAGAGGGATCTTGTTGGATCTGTATCCCCGACAGTCCAGCCAAAACTGAGCTTCTCCACATCACGACACATCATGCTGCTTCTTCTCCCCTCACCGACGGTCACCATGTCATGCTGCTCCTCACCTATCGGCCCATGGCCCAAGGTAGTAGCAATGGGAAGCCGAAGGAGCACCAGGACAGGGACCACATCGTTGAAAGCGCCATTCCCTTGTGGAAGTCACTCTGGCGCAGAGTTGCAAGAAAAGGCAGAGGTCAATGATGGAGGTGGCAAGGTCATGCTCGATGGGGTTCGTCGGACGCTGCCTCTCTTCCTCTGCGTCTGTCTCTGTCTCTTCACTAAGAACCAAGGAGCTCAGAGGCAGAGGTCAGTGACGGAGATGGTGAGGTCGAGCTCGATGAGGTTCATCGACTGTTGCCTCTCTTCCTCCGTTGCGTAAGTCTGTCTCTTCGCTAGGAGCTAGGGAGCTCGGAGCACTTGAGCTCACCGATGGCTCAGAGAGGTCAAGCTGGCCATCAGTCGATACCTCCTCGTCGATGCATAGAGGAGGAGGGAGAGGGCAACTAGCTAGCTAGGGGAGGAAGGGGGAAAAGGAAGGAGAGTGGGAGGAGGAAGAAGGGAGGGAGAGAAGAAGATAGCATGTGGGATCCACGTTGTATTTGACACATGGGTCCATAGATTCTTTTGAAAAATTTTTTGAAATGGTTAGTGACATGTGAGTTCCATTCAGTTTATTTTTATTTATATTTTTGTTGATTGTGATTCCATGTAAGCACTACGTAGGATGAAGACCATGTCAATGTGCCGAGTAGGTGCCACATCAATGAAAGCCACCGTTCAATACTGTCGAGGAAGTTGTTTTCCACTGTTTTATATTTGGATGAGCTGTTATACCAGTTTTACGGTTAAGGGTATTGTCAGGGTTATGGATACCACATACCTAATAGTAGTTGACTAAATCTCGGCAGGATACACCACATACCATGTCTTATACGGAAACTGACCTCGAGGGAGTTCCGGATAAGGAAAGACAACCAGAGTTCTACATGGAAACGACAAGGACTACTCGGATTATATCCATATTGGTTTCTCTAGTTCTACTTGGACAAGGGGACACCTATGGGTATAAATACAAGGCCCCCTAGGAGGAGAGGGGGGATGACCATGGAAGACACCCATGACAATCAACACCCAACACAATCAACATACGCCCACCAGAAGCCACAATATACAAGCCTACATACGCCAAGACAAGACGCCGGATATCGACTTCAGGGATAGGCATGGCTATTCCCCTACGGTGTCTCCGGATACTGTCAGGAGAGACGAAAGCGCTATCTCTGATCTCGCTGGACACGGATTCGAGGAGGAAGGCTACCCTGTTGTCGACTACGAGTCAGCCCTTCAGGCTGCCATGTCGACAACAGTTAGATAGGCTACCCCACATATTGTACTGGTGTGATTATGGTGAATAAAAAGCAACATCGGCTCCGGCCAACATGATGTAGGGCTATTACCTGATAGCTCAGGGGCCTGAACCTGTATAAAAATCCTCGTCTCCATCTCTTTTACCTCAGCGCGTATACCCTAGCACCGACGATCCCCATACTGTCCAAATACCGTAGTCGAGACATCAAACGTCGACAGGTATGAATTCGATTCGAACTATAAATTGGGGACTTAAATTGGACTTTTTGCTTACACAAAGCCCTCACGGCCGAAACGATGGCCATGTAACCCAGATGGCCGAAACAAAAAGCCTTCTCACTTCATCCTGGTTGGGACTGGATCGAAGATGAGCGATCATCCACTTAGAGCCCACAAGTATCCAACCCCGCAAGCCTCACGCGAAATCCTCCTGGGCCAAAAGTGCCATACTTGCTGAAGAGTCAAGCCTCAAGTAGCCAGGCGAACTCAAAATCAAATAGGCACCTTATTTCTTTCGGTTCAATTTTGGTTTTCCTCTAGATTTGAAGATGAGTAGCTAACCTAATTGAAATCGTAAATCCGGGGGAACCAACGGGTTTCCCATGCAATGACGCCAGTCAAGCCCACCGATTTTGAGCGAGAATTAGTTACTGATGATACATGCTGTGCAGTTGTGCCCTTCGTTTGCTAATTGGATCGACTCAATGTGGTGCTATCAAGTTGCATAAGACTGCACCAATTGGATAAAAATCTGCGATTACTTGCTTGTTAATGCCGAAATTAAATGTGAAAGGGATGTTATTTAATACTTGAGTCAACTCCTTAATATCAATATTGTAAGTTTACCATTGCATTCCCCGGTCCACGTGCATCAGTGCATGCAATGAACAGCTAGTTCAGTAGGCGTTGAGCACAGCAATGACATACCTGCATGCTCTTCAATTGAAAATCGTTTCAGTTTGGGATAAGTTCGTGCACTGAAAAGGAAAGTAAACGTACGAGAGAAAGCAACTGCACCCTACTTATGCATGCCCACTTAACATTTTTTTTAGTTCAACCGATTCCATTTTTAATGGACAACTTCAAAATTTCATGTTTATTCAAAAAAAATATTTTTTATCACTGACTCCGATGTGTTTTTGCTAGTTTTACACGTACATTTCATCGCTCCGAATCACCTCTAGATCAATTTCAAGATCTTTGAAGATGTGTAGCTTCAGTTTGTGCCCCAAACCATGAACATATTTTTACACGTCCTCTCTCTGAAACAAAGGATTAGTCTGATCCGCATTTTTACTCTGTTTATCCGCAAGAAAGTTTTTACACGTCCTCGCAAATTGCATGCTACATAATTCCTCCCTTTGTTTTGTAATAGATAACACCATTACTAACTTATAGTAATATTATTTATTTTTGTTGTGACATATTTATCATTAAAGAAACTTTAAGCATGACTTATACTTTAGCATATTCACACTAATTTTTGGAATAATACAAACAGTCCAACGTTGTTTCAAAAGTCAACAACGTCATTTATTAAAATATATTTTTTTTTCAAAAAAAAATGCATGCTAATTATAGACCTGCTAGGAACTTGTATAAATAGGGGTGAATGCTTTTGTTACATTGCAACTGCATGCAAAGTCCACCAGGCTTCTAACAACTAGCTATAGCTACTTGTGCCTGCAAACAAAGATATGGCAAAGCATGGTGTTGCTTTCATTTTAACACTGGCATTGGTCCTTGGAGTACTTGCGGTCACTCCTAAAGGTAAGTATATATATCACGTGTATTAGGGCCTACACCCTCCATTCCCAATAAGAAGCAACTTTCATGGATGAATTTGGATAAATAGCTGTCCATTCGTTTATAGAAGTTGTTTTTAAGAGTTAGGAGTGCGTGTAACGTATATATTGTTCGTTCTACTAATCAACAGTGGTGCAATCCATTGGCGTGTGCTACGGCGTGAACGGCAACAACCTGCCGTCGCCGAGCGACGTCGTGAAGCTCTACCAGTCGAAGGGGATCGACTCCATGCGCATCTACTTCCCGAGGAGCGACATCCTCCAGGCACTAACCGGCTCAAACATCGCCCTCACCATGGGCGTCGCCAACGAGAACCTCTCCGCGTTCGCCTCCGACCCCTCCGCCGTGGCCAATTGGGTCAAGCAGAACGTCCAGGTCTACCCGGGCGTCAACTTCCGCTACATCGCCGTCGGCAACGAGGTTGAGAGCGGCAACACGCAGAACGTCCTCCCGGCCATGCAGAACATGAACAGCGCGCTCTCCGCTGCCGGCCTCAGCAACATCAAGGTGTCCGTGTCGGTGTCCCAGAAGGGCGTGCTCGCCGGGTACCCGCCGTCCAATGGCATGTTCTCCCCCGAAGCGACCTCGTACATGACGCCCATCGCGAAGTACCTGGCGAGCACCGGCGCGCCGCTGATGGCCAACGTCTACCCCTACTTCGCCTACGTGGGCAACCTGCGGGCCCAGATCGACGACATCAACTACGCGCTCTTCACGTCGCCGGGCACGGTGGTGCCGGACGGCAGCAAGGCTTACCAGAACCAGTTCGACGCCATCGTCGACACGTTCTACTCCGCGCTGGAGAGCGCCGGCGCCGGGAGCGTCCCGATCGTGGTGTCGGAGAGCGGGTGGCCGTCGGCCGGCGGCACGGCGGCGAGCGCCAGCAACGCGCAGACGTACAACCAGAACCTGATCAAACACGTCGGGCAGGGGACGCCCAAGAGGGCCGGGAGAATCGAGACCTACATTTTCGCCATGTTCAACGAGAACGACAAGAGAGGCGACGAGACGGAGAGGCACTTCGGCCTCTTCAACCCTGATCAGTCGCCGGCCTACACCATTAATTTCTAAAGAACAGCACTTACAGGCTCCAGGCTCCATACAATTAAGGAGATCGATGAGGAAAGCAACGACTATATAGTACGTAAGTTCCAGTTGAATGTTTGGATTTGATCGAATAAATTGTTACGTACATATACGTAACACTTGCATGTTTTGGATAGGCTAGCTATCTGTCTTTTAATTTAAGCATGAGATGTGGTAAGCTTGTAGCCCGGCCGGCAGATTTGTTGCATAATTCCTGTGCATGCATGTTTCGTTTTGTTGAATAATTCCTTTTTTTTAGTTCATGTATACAGCATTAGCTAGTGCCGAGCGTAGCGCATGGTGTGTCATTGTGGGCAACGCGTGTGTGCATCGTGGTGTACTTGTCAAAGGTCCACTGAGGCCATGTCTTGCATGTAATTTCTTTTATCAGTATGGAGAGTAAACAGAAAAGCAGCGTTTCATTGGCTGCACCAAAATTCCTCGGTGTTCACTTTGTCCCAAAGCTCTGTGCATTTCGTCGAACACCTCTGGTTCATCTTCTCCACAGATTCTTCACGGCGAACTTGGGCTCATCGTCAACAAGATTATCCTGGTCTATATATGGTGAATTGCTCAGGCTTTAATAAATTCATCTCCACGGCCATGCGGCCATGACAGTGTTCTAGCTATCTAGTGTACTGGGTAAAGTGCTTTCATCCTTCATCGTCTCGTTTCTTACTTGTCACCCAACTAGTCACTAAAAAATTGACAAGCTAAATTAATATGAAATATATCAATCAACAAAATTCAACTTCTATAAGTTGTAACAAAATAACAAATATAACATTTACATTAACTATTTTCAGTTTAATTTATTCTTTTTTTAACTTGTAAAAGTTGAATTTGACTTTGCATGTTTCTGGAATGATATATTTCATATTAACCTATATTGTAATTTTTTTAAAAAATTTCTAATAACTATTTAGGCAGCATGCAAGAAATCCATCTCCAAAATTTCTCAGGGCAGTATTGTAAGTTGTGGGACGCACTGTATCTTGTACTACGGTTTTATTCAAACTCAATATCAATATGAGGGACCTTAAAGTGAACTTATTCCCAGGACAAACGCAGCAATCCGATTGGGCTCATCAGATTTTGGATCGGAACCAACTCTACTGAAACATTTAGGCCCAGTTAGGCCTGTTTGTGTCTGGACCAGTGGTTGCGATCATTTCGGCCCACTACAATTTGGGGCGTTTCAATGGGGCCAATCTGAAGGAAAAAGTACATCGGAGGTCCCTCATCTTGTCATCGGATTACAAAATCGTCCTCCAACCACAAAACCAGATATTTGATATGCCTCATTTTACAAAACCGGATCACTTTTGGTCCTCAAGCGGTTTTGACTCCGATTTTATCTGACGTGGCAGCTGACTCGGCGTGGGTCCCACGTGGGCCCCATGCGTCATCCTCATCTTTCCCTCCCCTCTCCACTTTTCTGTGCTCTCTCCTTCCCTCTCCACGGGCGGAACTGCGGAGCAGCTGGGTGCGCCGGCGGGCGCCGGCGGCAGCGGGGGAGCAGCTGGGTGCGGCTGGTGGCCGGCAGGGGAGCAGCTAGGTGCGGCCGGCGGTCCACTTAGAGCCCACGTAACCCAACCCGGTCAAGCGAAATCCTCCCCTCTGCGGGCCTACTCTGTGGGCCAGTGGCCTTGGAGAGCCTACCGCTCGTCGGCGTAAGGCAATGTCCATAACGTTTCCTTTTGCTGAGCCGAAAAGCCCATACTCCACAGTGCTCAAGCCTCAAGTAGTGAATTTTTAAGAAACTCAAAATCAAATAGTCACCTTTTTTTTTTCTTTCGATTCGATTTCGGGGTCCTCTATAGATTTGTACTCCATCCGTCCTTAAATATTTAACGTCATTGACTTTTTAGCATATGTTTAACCGTTCATCTTATTAAAAACATTTGTGAAATATGTAAAACTATATATATACATAAAAATATATTTAACAATGAATCAAATGATAGGAAAAAAAATTAATAATTACTTAAATTTTTTAAATAAGATGAACGGTAAAACATATTTTAAAAAGTCAACGGCGCCAAATATTTAAGATGGAGGGAGTAGATGAGTAGCTAATTAACCTAATTGAAATCGTACATCCGGGAGGACCAACGGGTTTGCCATGCCATGATGCCAGTCCATGCCCACCGATTTTGAGCGAGAATTAGTTCCTGATGATACATGTGCCCTTTTTGCTACCAAATCCTCGTTCACTAATTGGATCGACTGCAATGTGATGCTATCAAAGTTACATAAGAATGCACAAATTTGATAAAAATCAGCTCAGTACTTGCTTGTTAATGCCGAAATAAAATCTGGAATTGATGTTATTTAATCCTTGAGTCAGCTCCTCAATATCAATATTGTAAGTTTACCATTGCATTCCCTAGTCACCGTGCGTGCATTGAACAGCTAGTTGAGTTGAGGCGTTGAGCAGAGCGATGACATGCATGCATGCTCTTCAATACAAAATCGTTGCGATTTTGGATAAGTTCGTGTACGGAAAATGATAGTAAACGTACGAGACAAAGCAACTTCACCGTACATATATATCAAATATTTGGGGAAAGTAAATTCATCCCTCGAGGGATATCCTCTTGTTTCGTACAGGTCACTTAAATAGTTATAAAAAATATAAAAAAAAATTGCAACATAGATTAATATGAAATATATAACTCCACAAATATGCAAGTTTAAATTAACCTTGTACAAGTTATAACAAAAATAGCAAATATAATTACGAATGTGCGATAACTATTTTCACTTTAATTTGTTATTTTTGTTGTAACTTATAGAAGTTGAATTTAGTCTAACATGTTTGTGGAGTGATATATTTCGTATTAATTTATGTTGTTATTTTTTTTAAAAAAATTTTATAACTATTTAGATGACATGCAAACAACGAAGGGATGTCGAGGGATGAAAATCCACATCCAAATATTTGTATGCACATTTGACATTTTCTAGCTAGTACAACCGGTTTCATTTTTAATGGAGACAAACGTGAAGGGACTAGTAGCATACTGAACATTGACTGATACAGACAGTTCGAATATGGAATTACCCACAACCTTTTCGATCTCTCTTTATAATATGATAGATTGTTCGTTCAAAAAACATAATATGATAGATCATTAACTTTAACATATATTTATCCATCCTGTTGTATTCTCCAGCTCAAAATGTATCTGTATAAATAGGGGTGCCTTCTCACGTTGTACATCAATCAACCATCTTGTAGCAGCTACACGGTGAAGAGATGGCAGGGCAGGGTGTTGCCTGCGCGCTAGCCGTCGCATTGTTCATCGGGTCCCTCGTGTCCATCCCTACAGGTAATATATATGCAGATATATTTTGATCCACCAGTTTACACGCCAGGAATTAAACCATGCAGAACACATACTAACACATTTGATTTGCATGGCTGCATGCGCGCATTGATCGTCGATCAACATTCAACAGCAGTGCGATCCATCGGCGTGTGCAACGGCATATTGGGGAACAACCTGCCGTCGCCGGCCGACGTGGTGAAGCTCTACCAGTCCAACGGCATCGCCGCGATGCGTATCTACTCCCCGCACGCCGCCACCCTGCGTGCGCTCGCCGGCACCGACATCGCCGTCATCGTCGACGAGCCGGCCATCGACCAATTCCTCACTCTATCCGCCGCATCAGACTGGGTTCAGAGCAACATCAAGCCGTACCAGGGCGTCAACATCAGGTACATCGCCGTCGGGAACGAGGTGTCCGGCGACGCCACGCGGAGCATCCTCCCGGCCATGGAGAACCTCACCAAGGCGCTGTCCGCGGCCGGCTTCGGCAAGATCAAGGTGTCCACGGCCGTCAAGATGGACGTGCTCGGCACCTCGTCGCCGCCCTCCGGCGGCGAGTTCAGCGACGCCGCCGTCATGGCCCCCATCGCGAAGTTCTTGGCGAGCAACGGCTCGCCGCTGCTGGCCAACGTCTACCCCTACTTCGCCTACAAGGGCGGCGACGTCGACCTCAACTTCGCCCTCTTCCAGCCGACCACGGCGACGGTGGCCGACGACGGACGGACATACAGCAACATGTTCGCCGCGATGGTGGACGCCATGTACTCGGCGTTGGAGAAGGCCGGGGCGCCGGGGGTGGCCGTCGTCGTGTCCGAGAGCGGGTGGCCGTCGGCCGGCGGCTCCGGCGCGAGCGCGGACAACGCGCGGAGGTACAACCAGGGACTGATCGACCACGTTGGCATGGGCACGCCCAAGAGGGCAGGCGCCATGGAGGCGTACATATTCGCCATGTTCAACGAGAACCAGAAGGACGGGGACGAGACGGAGAGGCACTATGGGTTGTTCAACCCCGACAAGTCGCCGGCGTACCCTATCAAGTTCAGAATTAGTTGAAAGGTGTTCTCGTGAAGGAAAATCTTGAAAAAGAGCTTTTTAATTTCAAATACACATAGCTGTTGCCAGTTAAGTATAGTATGAGTATCCGGCATCATGTGTGATAAGCTGGTAGCAGTAACCCAGCAAATTATCCGCTACTGTTGTTCTTCAGGTTTTAATAAAGCAGTGGCTATATGAAATTATGAATGTCCATGTGTTCTACTAGCTAGTGTGCTGCTCGTATGATCTTCATCGTCAGCTTTGTTCTTATATGAACGTATATATGATCGTACATATACGTTCTTATATGTTCTTTCGTCAGCCTTCATATATACGATCATATAATATAAGAACGAAGTGTAACAAGTTGAGATCGATCGAGATGGAAATAATACCAGCTCCGTGCCTCCGTCAGATGGCGGAAGCCCCGCCGTCTCCCTCTCGTCGCCGTAGCTAAGTTGATATAGTTTATTGTGGCCATCACGTGCGAATCCGCACACTGGATTAACAAGCTAAACTGAGACAGTAGTACCAGAATTTTTTTATCGATTTCTCTAAGATTTCTCTCCGTTTTCTCTGTTATTCCCTTATTCCTTTTCCTTTTTTTCTAGCTTTTCTTACCTTTTTGTTACACTTCGTTCTTACGTTTTTTTTAGTATTTCTCTGCCTTTTCGCCGTTTGGCAGCCTACTTAGGAATGTTGTATCATTTTGACCCATCATTAACGCAATAGGTAGAATCTCTGTACCTTTTCAGAGTAAAAATAACCTTCACACCTGGCGTAGCTCCGGCCGCCGCCGGCGGCCCGAAAAGCGCAAGGAGCGAGAGGAGGTGAGCTGCGCGCCAACTTGAGGACATTGTAACGACGCTATCCCGTCGGGTTTCCGTGAACCGTGGGATTTGAAGTTTACGGTCCACAATAGGAATAAGTTTACTGAGGTTACTTGTGAACAAATTCGATTTTCATCATTCAACCAGAAAACCAGATACGACGGGTCCCTTAGCTATCAAGAGGACAATCTCCTCAGCATCAGGTCGATTCCGGTGCTGGTTGTCTTGCTGATGTTGTTCTTCTCCACCATGCTTCCGCGGAAATAGTCGCGCGGTTCATCAGCCTACTTGTTGTTGCAATGTGATGCAGCAGCATGCATCCGAGGCTGATTGTAACGCTCCGCTTTTCGTGAGGCATTAAAAACTAATTCGGCAAAATCCTAATTGCGAAAATTTTCGTTCTTTGTGTGCGAGTCTAAGTCATGCCAAGATCTCATTTCAAATCCCGTTGTTCCCTCTCATCGAAATCAAAATCCTCCACCTCAAATTCCTCTTCCGATTCAAGTCTCCAAATCAAATTCCGAAATTCAGTCGCATCCTTTGAATCCTCGCTAAACGCTCACTCCCAATTTCGAAAAATACCAAACTCTATCTTGAGCCTTCCTTGATTCCTCCCTGAACCCTCGAGTTCGAATATCGAATTTGAATCCAAATACAAACTCCAATTCTCTCCAAATCAGCCTTCTCTGTGAAAGTCTATTTTACCTCCCTCTGGCTCGGTGGGCCGACTCTTCTTCCCCGGCCCATCTCCTCTCAGCCCGCTCCCCTCCTCACGTGCGTTGCACGTGCCCTGCCTGAGAGAAAGCGCCTCTCTCTCCCGCGATCTCTCTCTCTCGTTTTCTCTCGCTCTCTCTCGCCTGCGCTTCGCGCCGCCGCTTTGTCGTTCAAACCCGCCACCGCCTTCGCTCTTTCCCGCGCGTGCGCGCGTGGCCGACCGGCCGGTCGCTGCCGCTGTCAGCCCTGCCGCGCCTGCGCCGCGCAGCTGCCCGGCCCCGCTCGCCTTTTGCCGACGTCGCCACTGTCATCGCCTGGCTCCGATGCCCCCATGCCGCATCCTTCCAAAACCAGAAGACAGAGCTCGTGCTCCTCTCTCTCGTTCTCACATCCTCCTTCCTCCCAAAATAGCAAGGGAGCAAAGCTCGTTTCCCTCCTCTTTTCACCTTTTTCCTTAGCCGGCGTCACGCCCGTGACCGCCTCCGCCGCCGCTTGGCCGCTAGCTCCGAGCACGACCGCCAGCTGCCACCTTGACCGCCCTAAGGTCGGTTTGAACCGACCTCCCGCGCGAACCGACCTCGCCTCCACTATAAAGCCGAGTCCCTCCTCTCAAATCCCTCCCACTTTAGTCTCCACCGCTACAGTGCCATCGCCGCCTTGCTGCCGCCATCCTCGCCTTCCTCCGCCGTCACGTGTGCCGGGAAGCCGGCGTGCGCGCGGAGCCGAAGAGGACTCCGGTCGCCCTCTCTCCCTCCCTTTCCCCGGCCCGAGACCGAGGTGATCACGCCTATGCCGTCGGACACTCTTCCCAGCGATCTCCCGACGCGGTAGCCCCCGTTCTCCCTCCCCACTCTTCCTCTCCCCCCTAGCTTGCGCGATTGCTAGCCTAGACCTTCCCAAACACGCGTGGACGCTGCCCCGAGCCCCGCCGCCACCCGGCATGGCCTCGCCACCATTGCCGTCCGCTCCCGGAGGCCGCCGCTCGTCGCCGGCTCTCCTCGGTGCTCCTCTGTCCCATCCGGCGCCGGAAACGGATTCCTTGAACCCCGGATATGCTCCCACCCCTTTTAATCGAACCCCCGTTGCTCCGGTGAAGTTTCCCCCTTTTCTCGCTACCGGCGTGCGCCGCCGCGATTCGTCATCGCCGGCCTCCCTCCGGCGAATCCGATCTGGTGGCTCACTTCCTCTCGTCCATCCCATCGTTCCGGTGTACTCCCTCTCTCTCGAATCGTCGCGACGAGCTCCGGTGAACTTGGCCGCCGTCCGCCGTCCATCTCGGCCTCCCCTTCTTCCTCCTCCCGCCGGCCCGCATGGCTGCCACATAGGCACCACGTCGGTGCCACCTCAGCTTTGACCGGGCCAAGCCGGTCAGCCGCCCCTCCCTCCGTCTTCCCTCCCGTGCGCGCGGTCCACGGCAAGCCGTGCGGCTGCACGTGGGCCCGCCGCCATCCATCCACCCGGTGCACCGCTCCTAAGCCACGCGCACCCGAAACCCTAGCGCCCGCCCCCGCGTGCGCCGTTTCCACCGTGCACCGCCTCACCGACAAGCGGGCCCGCTCGGGACCCCGCGAGGTGAGCCCGGTCCACCCGGCTCCCCTTCCCCCCCCTCTCTCCCCGCGCCCCTCTCTTGGGCCGCCTCCCCGTAGCCCGCGCCGGCCTAATAAGCTCGGCCGAACCGCGCAAATCTTCTCGGGCCGCGCCAAGCCGCTCGGGAAAGTCTGATTCCTATCCCTCCTTCCTTTTCTTATCCAAAGGGATTACTAAATCCTTTTCCCTTTTTCATAAATCAATTCCTTATTCCAAAAATTCCATGAATCATTTCCTTTGGTCCCGCACATCAGTGACCATCAATAATATTCTTGAGAATATTATTCCATAAACCATTTCTCGTGTTCTAGAAAAATCCAATAAATCATTTCCTTGTCCAGAAATTCCAGTTAAGATTCCAAAATTCATATCTCTCGATCCGTTCATTCGATTGACTTCGTTCCACTTCCAGTATTTCCGTAAAATTGAGATCTATTTAATGGCACTATTATTTAGTCTAAATAGGATCTTTCTTTTGGTCTTTTGTTTAGGTTTTTGATTGTTTGCGTATAGTTGCGGTTACCGGATTTTCGTCGATCGCGGGTTTTCTCGAAGATTCGTGAAGCTCCGTGAAGACCTTGAGCTAGGCAAGTCACCCTTTGACCAATTGCTCCTATAATTGGAAAATCATTATTATTTTGTTTGCAACTTGCATTGTTAGAATCACACACTTAACTTGCTTGGCCTCGGTTTGCGCGCTAAACCGACGGACCTACCCAGTAGTCGCACTAATTCCTGTAGGCTGTACTACCCTGACTCCTTGTCACTCCACCTTTGTGGTACCTCGGTATCCGTGCTCTCTGAGCGCGTATACCAAATATCCCACATACACCGTTGTTTGTCGAAAACTTGGGAAATGGGTTTGTAAAGCCTTGAAAACCCAACATGTGGTGTAGATGTGTTTAAAAATAAAATGAATTGTGAAAACTCGCGATGCGGGGGTTGTGCCTATGTGGAACTGTCCCGTATTCACATATTAGGACCGATTCCTATGGGAAACTCATCGAGCATAATCAAAGTGCAACCACAAGGTGGAATGAGACACCATGGCTAAGTAACTAGTCGGTTCAGGGAAACCTCGCATGCCAATAGTTGGGAACGCCGGGGCGGGGTTGGTTGGAGCCAAACCAGGTTCCTGGTAAGCAAGGAAGAGAAGCTTGCTGAATTACCGATCGAGGTGGTTGGAGTTTGATTTGTGAAAACTAAAATGGCCTATATTTATGTGAGGATTTGATCCTTCTATGTGGCATGAGGTAACCCTGAGTTGGCTTGGAAAAGGCTTTGTCGCGAACCTCTGACACCGGCCAGTGTCTGGAGTAAGTTCGTGTCTTGTGGGTAAAGTGTACCCCTCTGCAGAGGTTAACTAACTGTTCGAATAGCCGTACCCACGGTCATGGGCGGATGTGAGGTGGTTCCCGTTGCGTAGATTTGTTTGCCTGTGCTTTGTGAAAAGTTGTTGTGGTGTGGGAATCGTAACCAGAATCAGCCTATGTGGTAGATGGATGACCTGAGTGGTCAGAAACGAATCTGTGTGATTCGGGATGTCTACGGGCATCATAGACTAGGCTTCCCGAGTGGAAGCGGATTGCTTTGCTGCTGGGCAGCTGGACTCTGGGAGTCCGCAAAAACGAATAAGGCTCTGGGAGCCGCTTAATCAAGTGAAATGGCTCTGGGAGCCGAGAAGTAATGATCTGACCCGGGAGGTCGGTACATTACCAATTGAGCTGTTGAAAAGCATCTCTTAAGTCGATTTGAGACGCAAGTCTCTTTTCGACCCAAACTTAAAGAGAAATAAATCACTTAGTGATTTCAAAATGATTTCAAACAAAAGATTTGCAAAACAACCTTGCCTCTCTTCCAAGCTTGCATTAAACACCTAAGTTCACGTGACTTGCTGAGTACGAAAGTACTCACCCTTGCTCTATATAAATATATATATAGTTCCTCCGCCCTGAAGAGAAGATAAAGTGAAGTGAAGAATAGGGTTTCGTCCTAGTTCCCAGCCGTCGCCTGTGGTGTTGGGTGTTCGTTCGTTGGTTCCGCTGCTATTGCTGTTGTTGGTGTTTCCTCGTCAGCGTCGTCGGTTGCATTCTCGGGCTGTTCTGAGCTGCAACCTAAGTTAAGGTAAATAAGTCCTCTATTTATGTTAAGGATTTGCAATGATTCAAATTTGTCACCGTGGGTACCAGCGCTATGTCCTGGGACTGGTACTGAGATCGCGGTTTCGTAGGAAGCGGTTCGCGCCGTTTTTCCTACGACACGCTCCAGTCAGGTGCCGTTCTACGGCGGTACCAGATTGGGGTGTGACACTGATGGCGGTAGACGGCGCGGTAGGAGGGTGCGTTGTGGTTGGCCTTATCGGGTTGGTTGTGCGCTGGTAGCCCGCGAGGTCCAAGGATGTCCACCTCTTATATTTGTTGTGCTTGGGCAGTTGCAGCGTCGTAATAGAATCGGCGATTGGGAGAAGGAGCGGGGAGCCTTTGAGGACCATCGCTCCTTCTCCCGACGGCCACTGCACGCCGCCCCGTCTGCCGTTGTGCCTGGAAGGGAGATAGAGGAGAAAAGAGAGGATAGGGGAGAGAGACGAAGAGAGGATAGAGGAGGAAGAAGAATGGCCGGGAGAGGGAGGAGAGAGAAGAGGAGGGAGTGAGAATGACACGTAGGACCCACGTCGGCCACACTATTTTTAATTATTATTTTTATTGTCGTGGGATAAAGACTGAGTCAAACTAGTCACGTAGGCGCCACGTCAGCTAAAAACATCGTCCAAACCGCCATAAGACCTACATTACACCGGCTTTGACAGTTGAGGGACCTGTTGTATCTGATTTTCCGGTTGAAGGATGAAAATCAGATTCGTTGATAAAGTTAAGGAACCTCAAGTGAACTTAGTCCTGCACAATATAAACTGATTCCGGACAAGCGCAAAGAACCAAATAAGCCCACAAATCGTAACTAACACTGGGCCATCAGACCCATAACAGTTTTGTATAGAAACCGATCGCAGAGACTCACCCGATCCAATTGGGCCCATTGGAATTTGGATAGAAGCCATCGGTATAGGTGGCAAAAGTCTAATTAGAGTCCCTTAATTGACTGAGTAAAACCAGATAAAATAAGAGGAATAAGTTCACTTTGGGTCCCTCTATTTACGAAATCGTTTAAATGAGGTCCCTCGGCGGTATTTAGTCCAGTTTTGACTGAGGTGGCGCTCCTTTTGACTAGGTCTTTGTCCAAAGTGTTGTTGACGTAGCGTTTATGTGACAATTAGATTCGAAAAAATAATAAAACACGTGGGACCCACCTGTCAGTTTCACACACAAATAACAAAAAAAAATTGTGGACCCACACGTCATGCTCACTACCTCTTCTCTCTATCCCCCTCTCTCTCTCTCTCCCTCTTTTCTCTCTCCAGCCGGCGAAGCAGGGAGGGCGGCTCTTGCCGACGCCGGAGTCCCTGATGAGCAGGATCTTGAAGCTGCACTCGTGCCCACCACCGCCGCTGCTCCCCGCCCCCGGTGGCGCGGCCCACAACGCCGGCCGTTGGTCGAAAATTCCCCATTCCAAAACCCCAATCGCGTCGAATTGAGTGAAGCCATGAACAGTGTGGGTGCAGCGTCCAGGCTAGGTGGCGAGCCTCTGCAGACTGCAGGCCGGCGCGGCGGTGCTTGCCCGCTCCTAGTGCCGCGGTGCCACCTGGCCTGCACGGCTGTGCGCCTGCGTGCAGCAGCCCAGCTCTAAGCCGAGCAGGCAGCAACACCAACAAGTCAGCAAGGGCAAGGCAGCAAAGCAACTAGCCCGATTCAGCACAAATGGATAGAAAGGGGAAAGGAAAGGCTTTGGCATCATAAAAATGTAACATTTGTTGAGTATTTGACAAATGACAAGTGAAAACATTGCAATTTGCAAAAGTATAATGAACAATTTGTCATTGATTCACATGTCTGTAATTTTCTGTAATTTTGTTTGTAGATTTGAAGAGCTATTTCACTAGGTAGTCCAGTAGTTGCCGAGCAGTATGCTTTCATTCCACAGCGCGGCGGGGGGAGAAGTCGCACGACCTCGACGGCACCGTCGTCGGCGGGCCCAACGGCAACGACGTGTTCACCGACCACCGGGGCGCGTACCTACAGACGGAGGCCTGCACGTACAACACGGCGGCCATGGTTGGCGTCTTCTCTAAGCTCATGGAGGTCGAAGTCGAGCGCGACGCCTCTGTCCGCTCCGCTTACGTCGCCGGCGACGCACAGGCCGACCTCAAGACCCTGGTCGATGGCCTCGTCGCCAACGGCAACACCAACATCAAGGTGGACGCCGGCACGCACCCGCAGACGGCCACAGGCCACGGGCGGCTCCTCTGCTCCCAACGGTCGGCGCCCCGCGGCCCTCCGGCCACCGCCGCGCTGCGACTTCTCCCCCGTCGGCCGGCCGCTCCGCCCACAACGCGCCGCTTCACCCCTCGTCTCCGCCCCTCTCTGCCTCTGCCCCTCTGCTCTGCCGCCGCTCCGCCCTGCCGTCGCCCACTCCGGCCGCCGCCCACTCCGCTCCGTCGGTTGGAGAGAGAGATGGATAGAGAGGATAGAGAGAGGGGAGATAGAGAGAAGATGGTGGTGAGGATGACGTGTGGGCCCACATGGGCCCACCCATTTTTTTATTATTTGCGTGTGAAACTGATATGTGGGTCCCACGTGTTTTATTATTTTTTCCGATCTAATTGCCACATAAGCGTCACGTCAACGACATGTTGGACGAAGACCTGGTCAAAAGGACCTTATTTAAATGGTTTCGTTAAGTTGGGGACCCATCGTACCTAGTTTTGCGAACAGGGGATGAAAATCGGACTAGGCGACAAATAAATGGATCCAAAGTGAACTTATTCCAAAATAAGAAGACTCCCTCAACTGCTGATATGATATCGGTTTGTTTTTCCTCCCTGTAACTTTTTTTTCTGGTGATTTCATCTGACATGGCACCACGTAGCTTGACACGTGGCAGTGGATCCCATAGGTTCATCATTTTTCCTACTCTTTTCTCTTTCTTTCTGCCAACCTTTTCTTACTCTGTACGCATATATTACAATTTTACAAGGGGGCTCAGCTTAATTATATACAGTGTCCACCTTCATTTTCCTACTTGGACTCTTTATTTGTCTGAAATAAAACTCCAGCAACTACATTTCATTTACAAGTCTAGGAGCTCAAGCTAATATCGCTGTGCGTTGTCCCATCCTCCATCCGTATCCATGACTGAATTGAGAAGGGCTGTTCAGATATCTCAATAACCCTTGCTCCTCTTGGCCAGTTACCGTAGCCACCATAGCCTGTGTGTCGGGCAAAACATAGCCAGAGTTTCTCGTGTGGGCAGCACCAATCCAGGCCGTGGTTGTGACCAACGAAAATTGCCTGTAAAATGACAACCAATGATATATGTTCTCTAACAAATAAAAAGTAAGTGTCTTCTGAATTTTGACCTGTGTATCTAAGTTATCTGAAGGGATTCAGGGGATAAGAAATTCTGTATACATGTCAAGAAATGTTCAGATGAAACAAACCTTCACTGAAGCCCTCTTGACAAGGGCATCCATCATACCCCATTCAGCTTCTTGTGGTGCTACTTCTTCCCTGTTGATAGAGCCAACACAGGGTTTTCTTATTTCGGACTTAGCTTTCGGCGCAACCTTGGCATATGCCGTACTTGGAATATGCCAAAAGATTATCTCTGGAATCCTGTAGAATAATTACACAACATTAATTTTGAGTTGCAGAAGCTTGAATTTTGAGTATGTGCAAAATTGATACAAGTTTCTGACCTTCCATTTGGATTAAGGAACTGAGATTGACTATGAAACCACTGAACCTGAGCACTGGATATCACTTCTGGATAGGATCCACCACCGGAGTCAAGGAAATACATGAGCAGAGCTGGATCATCTCGCTTCTGTGATAGCACCTGCAAGACGTAGTTGGAAACAGCAGGCCAGAGGTCCTTGGGGCCATTTGATGAATATGACAATCCATTACGGATAACCTCACTTGTCATCAGTTCAAGTCGCGGTGTTCCTCGGAAGCTGCAGTCTGCACATCAAGTTAAAAACATGGTTTTCTTGAAAAGTTCAAATGAATGATTACTTTTGTTTGAAAGCATACAGTGGTTGCCTTCTTTCTTTTCCTTTTCTTTTTTCTGCGCTGAAGTTCAGTGACTGAACTGAAACAAATTCAGAAATGAACTATCTTAAGTTTACCTGAATCTGACATGCTCGGTGGTGGGCAATGCAGCGGCGGAACGCCTGCAGGAGAGAACCACTCAGGAGGCCACTCGAACGGCATGTCGTCGTGGTTCCCGAACACCGTCGCCCACGGGATCCCCCTGCCTCTGGTCGGAGAAATCGCTCTGTCCCAGTACAGGCTCGCGTTGGGGATCCCTAGATTGTTCGCGGTCACGAGGTCGCCGAGGTACACCACGAAGTCTGCGAATTCCGGGAGATTTCAGCGAAAAGAACTCGCAATTTTACATTTCAGGCGAGGGGACGCCGCACGCACCGGGCTTCTCGGCGTCGAGGACGGCGGCCATGACGCGGTCGGAGCCGGCGTCCTGCCGTGGGCCCCAGTCCGTCCAGGCGTTCTCGCCGTAATGCAGGTCGGCGAAGAGCGCCACCTTGAACCCTCCTCCCGACGCGAACCGCAGCGGCCGGCGGCTGCTGCTGCTGGCCGTGGTGTCAGGGCGCCGGTGCTCCGCCACCGCCAGAGCAAGCGCGGCGCAGAGGGCGGCGAGCAGTGCGCCGGCCGCCGCCAGGCGACGCCAGCACCGCATCCCGGCGTACGTGCTCCGACGGTTCAGTCAATCGGAGTCGGACGCGTGACGGATCTCCGGCGACGGCGGTGGCAGAAGCGTGCCGGAGCAGATGCTGGTGGCTGCAAATGATGGGTAGAGCTGCGATTAACGTCAGTACGTCACTGCTGCTTGTGCATTGATTGATGGGTCACTGTCCACAAAAGAGTAAAGACGCGGCGCTTTATTTCGTTGCGTTACGCTGATTGTTAGCGTAAATATAAATAAAGTGGACACAAGATAATGGGACAGTCACGTTACGCCGAATCATGTCATTCATCCAGAAGCAGAGAGAGAGAGAGAGAGAGAGTATATGCGGCGAGGAGCTCAGGTAGCAAGCAAGAATATGCTCTCCGAAGATGGATTTTAATAAAAGATGAGTAAGTTGTCGTGGCTAGAAAATGCATCTCGACTTGTTTAATACTCCCTCCATACTCGTAAAGAGATCGTTTAGTACAATATTTAAGTCAAACCTTAAAAATATAGGTCGAATCTAATTTATACCCCTCAACCACAAAACAGGATATGACGACTCCTCAAACTATTAAAACTAGTGCAATTTGACTTTCTCAGCGGTTTTGCTGACGTGACGCTAATGTGGCAGTGTTGACATGGTGTTCGTCTCACGTGGCGCTTATGTGATATTAGAATTAAAAGAATATCTGTGAGATCCATCTGTCATTTACACACGCAAAAATATATTGTGGGGTACGAATTAGATTCGGCCTATTTTAATGGGAATCAAAGTGGACTTTTTCTGTTACGGAAATGCTATATACCAGTATACCGTTGGACGGGATACCCTTCGTCCACCTTTCCCATCCAAATAGGAACGAGGCTGAGCACCTAAGCCGTGAGGAGGAGGTGGCCATCGGCGCCTAAGCCGTGAGAAGGTGGCCATCGGCGACTCCGGCGCAGGCTGGGAATAAGACCCGCTCGGGGAGAAGAGGACGTGGCCACCGGAGACGCGGCCGCCGGCAACATGGTCGTTGGATTGCCGCCTGGTGCTCCATCCGCGTGGCCGGCCGGTGCGCTCTCCGCCGGTGCCCCAACTCCATCACCGGCGACGTGGCCATCGGCGACGTGGCCATCGGCGACGTGGTCGCCGGATTTGCCGCCGGGAGCTCCAGCACCGTTGCCTGCCAACCACCACGCCGCCGTTAACGCCCACCCTTGGCTCCATCTGCGTGGCCGGCCGGTCCGCCCTCCGCCGGCGCCCCAACTCCGTTGCGGGCCCTCTCCGGTCGGCGCCTTCGTCGCCGGCCGTCGATCCCGCTGTGAGTCCGGGCCTTCATCCTATCCATCTGCTACTTTGGGGGAGAAAAGAGACAAGACGGGGGTGCAAAGAACTTGTTAATTTGGTCATGGCTGGCTGTGGAGTGTGGTAGAATCATCTTCTACGTGGTAAGAATTGCATGATACATGAGTTAAGTATCAGGACCTGATACATCGCAAGCATCACCCACCACGTGATAAGAATCGCATGATACCTCATAGGTATCATCTGATACCTCGCAAGTATCATCTGATATGTGGTAGAAACACAAGTATCACACGATCCTACTAAAGTATCATCTGTGAAACCCATAGGATCTTGTTACTAGATATGATACCTATGTAGTGTCATGCGGTACTGCATAGGTATCACACATAATGATACTTTTGAGGAGTATCATGTGATCCTCCTAGGATATCATTTGTGCAAACTAATGATACCAAACATGATACAGATGAGGATCATGATACCTCTCAGGTATCACATGATCCTCCCAAAGTATCACCTATGAAACCTGGTGAAACCGAACATGATACTAAGGAGGATCATGATACCTCCCAGGTTTAACATGATCCTACTCAAGTATCACTTGATACCTCGCAACTATTATCTTCTACGTGGTAAGAATCGTATGATACCTTATATGTATCACCTGATAATTAGCTGGTATCAGGTGATACCTACCAGGTATCATGCGATTCTACCACGTATCAGGTATCAGACGATTCCTATCACGTATCAGGCGATACTCGTGAGGTATCATGTGATACCTATCAGGTATCGTGTGATTTCTACGACGTATCGGGGTGATACTTGTGAGGTATCATATTCATATGATACCTACTAGATACCAGGAGCTGGGTGTCGAGGTGTCGAGGCATCGTCGCCGGCGGCCGCGTCCTCCCCCATCCACGCTCCACACTGAACCCGAACCTCGTCGCCGGCAGCCGCATCCTCCCCCGTCCACGGTCCACATCGGAGCTCGTCGCCAGCGACCGTGTCCTCCGTCGGGAGCTCGTCACCGGCAGACGCGTCCGTCGTCCACGCCTCAGCCGGCGGCCGCGTCCTCCACGCCGGAGGTCGTCCGCGCCGTTTGCGTCCGCGCCGCCGGCGTTAGCCGCATCTGTGCTACTCCCACATCTCGCTTGGCGCCATGGCCTGCGCTCTCGCGTCTGAGGGAGGTGGACATGGAGCGATCCTGTTGGGACAGTATCCCAACGAGATACCGGTATATAGCAGCCTCCTTTCTGTTAACTTACGAGTCTGGCTATGGGAGCCCACAGGCTATTTGTCTCTAATGCTCAAAGCGAGAGAGTCTCAGCCTTGCTACATGCAAAGGATACGTGTGTAACAATGTACCAACACTGTAACACATCGATGAAGAGGTTTGGTCAGAAAAAAATGGACACCAAACCGAGTCCTAATTGCAATGAGATTCAGGTGCAACGTAAGGCAGAAACCAAGAGCTGCTGCAGCCGGGAACATATACGAAGCCGCACCCCGGCGTCGCCGTCGGCAGGCGATACTCCCGAGGATGCCCGTCGTAGTACTCGAAGGACACGAACGGCCGAGCGAAGTAGAGGTGGTTGCGCAGCGCGTCACGGCCGCCTCGCGTCGACACGCACAGGCTGCGGCCGCCGATCCCCACCAGGATGGCCACCTCGCCGAGATCCTCCACGGGGAGCCACCTCCCCTCCTCGCGCTCCTCGTAGCGGGACACCTCGTACCGCCGGGACCCGCGGAGGTAGCCGTGTCGCGCATGGTCTTCGTCGTCCATGGCGCCGACGCTGCTCACCATGAGCAGGTCGCCGCCGCCGAGCGACTCCACGAGTGCGGCCCACGTGCACTTCTCCGGCCTCGGCTCCGTGACGCGCGTCGCGTGCAGGCCGCTCGAGCTCGCGTCCGGCGCCCAGGCGGTCACCGCGGCCTCGCGGCTCGCCGTGTAGAACGCGCCCTTGTGGTAGACGACGTCGACGTACTTGTGCTGCATCCATTTCGGGAACCACAGCGCCGTCCACGACTTGGCGCCGGGCCGGAGGAACGACAGGCCGTTCCCGCCGCCGTGGATCAGCATCACGGCGAAGGTGCCGACACGGCGGCCGGGAACCAGCTCCGCCTTCTGGAACATGGACTCGCCCATCTGGTCGAGGTCCCTGGCCACCTTCTTGCTGCCGGACGAGGTGATGGGAGGCAGCGGGAACGCCCTGCCGGTGACGGCCTCGAGCAGGGACAGGCCGCACTCCTCGTCGACGGTGACGAGCCAGCCGTGGGAGGACCCGATGATGCGGGTCACTGGCGCGGCGCCGCCGTCGCTGGGGATGCGGACGATTCGTTCGCGGGTGAGGCGGAGAGGACAGAGCTCGATGCCATTGCTCCACTGGTCTAGTCTCACGCTGTACGGGCGGCTCGGTTGTTCGAGTGTGCGGAGGCGCGTGGTTTTCAGGGCGCGGCGCCACGGCCGGCAGACGGCGGAGCACACGACGTTGTCGAGGGGTCCGGCGCAGCGGGCGATGTCGTCGAGCGCTTCAGGTGGCAGGTCAGAGAAGCAGACGGGCGCCATGGTGTTTGGAGGTGCAGATGTGTAACGACAATTCAGTGTTTAGCCAGCGATTGTGATGACGTGGTGTTCGGTGTTTATCGTTCATTCATCTGTGTTAAGATGGTGATTCTACGAGATTATCTCTACAACCAACGGCCAAATATACGTATCTGTGATAAGATGGTGATTCTACGAGATAATCTCTACAACCAACGGCCAAATATACGTAGACGTTATTACTTCATTTTCCCCCAACGAAGCTGATAAAGGATCGATCCAATATTCCCGTGCTCGATCGTGCCTTCGTGGCATGTACGGAAGTATCGTGCAATTTGGAACGGAATACTACAGGCACTTTCTGTATATTTATATGAGGTGTCCATGAATTTTGAGAGGCGAATTTGCACAAATTCGAAACAAACCTGACTTGTATTTGAAGTGCAACTTTTTTGAAAGAAAAACTTTAGTTTATATCCAGCTTTGAAGGGCTAACATATTGGAAGCATCTCTGCAAACCAAATCAGCTCCTTGCTATTTTCTTTTCAGTAAAAGGCAACGTACCCATTAACGACGAGACACCCGACTAACTTATAGAAATTGTATTTCAACTTGCATATATGTGGAGTGATATACTATATTTTTTTAAAAAAAAACATAACCATTTTTTTAATATACAGTAAACGAGTGGACATCAATCGGTTAATTAGAAACCATCTATATATGTGCGGACTTACCCATAACAAGTAATCCTGCGGTGGTAGAACAAGCCAATTTTTTTATACGAATCTAGACTATTTAAATTTGTGTAAACAATAATTTATTTTGAGACAGAGAGAGTAAAGTAGACACGTTAGTCGGTGATTCAAAAATACACATTAAACATAGCCGGGTCTAATACCAATGGAATTCAGGTGCAACATAAGGCGCAAACCAAGAGCCGCCGTAATGCGGCACAATCAGGTAAGTACAACCCGGCGTCGCCGTCGGCAGGCGATACTCGTCAGGGTGGAAGCAGTAGTATTTGCCTGATTCGTAGGACGGCCATGCGAAAAAGAGGCGGTTGCGCAAATCGTCGTGGAAGCCTCGCGTCGACACGCACAAGCTGCAGCTGCTTCCCACCAAGATGGCAGCCTCGCCGAGATCCTCCACGGGGAGCCACGACGACGTCCCCTCGCGCTCGCCGTCGTAGCGCGACACCGCGTACCGCCGGCGCGGTAGCCGGTACCATTGGCCATGCGCGGCAAAGCCTTCTTCCACGACGAAGCTGCTCACCATGAGCAGGTCGTCGCCGCCGACCGACTCCACGAGGGCGGCCCACGTGCACTCCTGCGTCGGCTCCGAGACGCGCCCCGCGTGCAGGCCGCTGGAGCTCGCGTCCGGCGCCCAGGCGGCCACCTCGCCGTCGCGGCTGGCAGTGTAGAACGCACCGCGGTGGAACACGATGTCCGTGTACTTGTGCTGCATCCGTTTCGGCACGCGCACCGCCGTCCACGATTTGGCATCGGGCCGGAGGAACGACAGGCCGAACCCGCCGCCGTGGATCAGCATCACGGCGAACGCGCCCAGCCGGCGGCCGGGAGCCAACGTCGCCTTGTAGAACATGGACTGGTCGAGCTCCTTGGCCACCTTCTTGCTGCCGGACGAAGTGATGGGAGGCAGCGGGAACACCCTGCCGGTGAAGGCCTCGAGCAGGGACAGGCCGCACTCCTTGTCGACGGTGACGAGCCAGCCATGGGAGGACCCGATGATGCGGGTTGGTAGCTTGTCGCCGCCGTCAACCATGGCGATGGGGACATAGATGGTTGATTCACTGCTGCAGCCGAGGCGAACGGCCAGGCAGAGACTGATGGTGCCGTTCCTCCACTTGTCTAGTCTCACGCTGTACGGGCGGCTAGGTCGTTTGAGTAGGCGGAGGCGCGTGGTTTTCAGGGCGCGGCGCCATGGCCGGCAGACGGCGGAGCAGACGACGTTGTTGAGGGCGCCAGCGCGGCGGGCGATGTCGTCGAGAGCTTCAGGTGGCAGATCGGAGAAGCTGACATGCGCCATTGTTGGCGATGGAAATGTAACAACTATACAGTGTTTATCCAGCGATAGTGAAGGAGCGATCCTCGGTGTTTATGGTTCGTTCCTCTGTTTAAGATGCTGATTCTACGAGATTATCTCTATAACAAACAGCCAAATATAGACTTACTTGACTTGCCCCCAACGAAACTGATTAAATTAAGATCCATCTTCCATTAGCCCAATCTTCCAGTGTTCGTGACATCCATCCATTCAGTCTGTACTGGGAAACAAATAACGTTTTGCAGATTGTATAGAAGGTGTCCATGCATTCTGAGCGGCAAATTTGCACAAAGTTGAAACTACCAGATTTGTATTTGAAATCAAGAAAACAAAATATTGATTTGTCTAGTTTCGAAGATCTAACGTTTTCTTGAGAAAGTACACAGAGGTACCATATTAAGTACCTTAAGGTACAAAAAATTCTAGCCTAAAATTTAGATACCTCAAAATATTTTCTAAAGTAGTGTAAAATTTCTCTTTCTGCAAGTCAAAACCGTTGTAGACTTCTGCTCTTGGACAGGGTCGGCCCTGGGGCAGCGCGGAAGGTCTGGGCCCTAGGGCAGCGCGGAAGGTGTGACTGTATTGGGCCTCCAAAATATGTATACAATGATATCACTGTATCAGGCCTGATAGGTTTAGAGAAAAGATAGAAGACCGATCGACGATCGAGTATATCGTGACTGTTTGATTGTATTTTAAATTTATTAGTGTGAAATTCGTTAATGACATGAGTTTTAAAATATTATCTTGTTTTTTTATGATGAATGGGGATCTTCATTTTTTGTTTTGCACCGGGCCACCAAAAAGTCAGGGCCGGCCCTGCTCTTGGATATAGAGTGTCCCTCTCAACTTTTATCTCTCTTTAACTATATTGGAAGGCTGTTGCTGCAATTACACATGTAAATGAGAAGAAACAACTTGTTTGGCAATTTGAGGGAATAGATTTAGGAGTTTAGACGAGAGAATTAATGATGATATTAACATGAAAATTTGATTAAGAGTTTAGATAGGAGAATTGACAGTGATATTAACCGTGTCGATTCTAAGATTTGAGTCGTGTATAAATAGGTTCCACCACAAGAATTATAACCAGTTGAGATACGTTCGCTTCGTAATAACATATGTGACTATAATAAGTCAAACAAGTTATGTATGCATCACTTTAGCTGAAACTGCTAACACTACTGTAGAGGAACATTAAGCTAAGGAAAACGGGGCCTGATTGCAACGGAATTCAGTTGGAAGCCATATCCCGCCGACGCCGTCGGCAGCGAGTAGGCGGTAGGGTGGCCGAGCGAAGTAGAGGTGGTTGCGCAACGCGTCGCGGGAGCCTCGCGTCGACACGCTCAAGCTGCAGCTGCTCCCCACCAAGATGGCCGCCTCCCCGAGGTCCTCCACGGCGAGCCACGCCCCCTCGCGCTCGTGCAACCGAGACACCATGAGCAGGTCGCCGCCGCCGATCGACACCACGAGGGAGACCCACGCGCACTCCTGCCTCGGCTCCGAGACGCGTCCGGCGTCCAGGCGCTCACCTCGGCGTCGCGGCTGACCGTGTAGAACGCGCCCTGGTGGAACACGACGTCGACGAACTTTTGCTTCATCCATTTCGGGACGCGCACCGCCGTCCAGCATTTGGCGCCTGGACGGAGGAACGACATGCCGAACCCGCCGCCGTGGATCAGCATCACGGCGAAGGTGCCCAGCCGGTGGCCGGGAACCAGCTCGGCCTTCTGGAACATGGACTCGCCCATCTGGTCGAGGTCCTTGGCCACCTTCTTGCTACCGGACGAAGTGATGGGAGGCAGCGGGTACAACCTGCCGGTGACGGCCTCGAGCAGGGACAGGCCGCCGTCCTCGTCGACGGTGACGAGCCAGCCGTGGGAAGAACCGACGATGCGGGTTACTGGCGCGGCGCCGTCGTGGTTGGCGATGCGGACGGTTCGTTCGCCGTTGATGCAGCGGCGGATGGGATGAAGCTCGATGCTGCCGCACCACAGCTCTAGGTTGACGCTATACGGCCGGTTCGGTTGCTTCAGTAGCCCGAGGCGCGTGGTTTTCAGGGCGCGCCGCCATGGCCTGCAGACGGCGGAGCACACGACGTTGTTGAGGGCGCCGGCGCGGCGGGCGATGTCGTCGAGGGCTTCAGGTGGCAGGTCGGAGAAGCAGACGGGCGGCGCCATGGTTGATAGATTTGGTTGGCGTTGCAAATGTGTACAGTTTGGTTTACCGGCTAATTCCACTGTTTAATAAGGAGGTGATTCTACGAGATAATCTCTGCCACCAGCAACCAAATATGGACTTTAACTTGACTTGCCCCCAACGAAACCGATAAGAGGAATTTTTACAGTACTTTGAGAAAGTACTAAATTTTACGCTACATTCTTAAGGATGATAAAATTAACCAACATTTAAACCTCGATTTGGCCCAGCGACACAAGAACGAAAGTGAAAACCACAACACTCGCCGTCAGAGTTAAGAACATCATCAGTTGGGCACTTGCATATGAAGTCAAATATTTAGTTTCTGTCCAGTTTTGAATATTTAACGTTTGAAATCTCGATTTGGCCCAGCGACCCAAGAACGTGAAAACCACAACGCGATAAAAATCCTTGAAAAATTTCTCTGGGTAACTAAAATCCCTTGAAATTTCTGAAATTTAAGTACACGGTTTTCAAATTTGTCATCACTTCACCTGCGAGAAACAGCGGAGGGCACAAACCAAACAGGATGGCCGCCGGCGGCGCGCCGAAACACCGACATCCTGGACGCCACCCCCGTCTTGACATCGCACACGCCGCTCTCGTACCGCGAGCATCCCTTCTCCTCCTCCTCGAAATCCGCCGCGAACGACTTGACCACGTAGTACACGCAGTTGGGCTTCAGGCACGGGTACTCCCGCGTCGACACGCACTCGCCGTGGTTGATCCCCACCAGCACTGCGGCGTCGCCGACGTCGTCCCGGGAGCGCCACTCGCCCTTGTCCTCGTCCACGTCGAACACCTTGAACCGCCGCGCCCGCAGCGCGTTGCTGTCGTCGAGGATGGCCACGGTGCTCACCACCAGTAGCCCCCCGCCGCCGTCCGCCTGCTTGGCCAGGTACCTCGCGCCCTCGTAGAACGCCGGCTGGTGGAACGTGTCGCTGTGGAATTCCACCAGCCGCTTGAACTCCCACCTCATGACCGGCCCCGTCACGAGCCGTGGCTTCAGGGCGCGGCCGTCCGGCTCCCACGCCTCCACGGCGCCGTCGCCGCGGGTGAGCGTGTAGAACGCGCCGTTGTGCCAGATGACGTCCGCGTACCGCGTCAATGCCTGGGTGGGCAGCGACGTCCAGCGGTCGTCGCCGGACCTCGCGAATGCCAGCCCGGAGCCGCCGCTGTGGCTTACCATCACGGCGGCGTAGCTCTCCTTCCGGTGGCTCCCCGGGGCGATGGCCGCCTTCTGGAAGAACTCATCGCGCATCGACTGGACCGGCACCAATTTGGGAGGCTTCCACTCGATCTTGCGATGGCCTTGGAGATGGTGGTGATAGGCGTGATTGTCCACCGCGAAGTATTCCGGGACGCCGTCGCCGTCGCCACCGACGGCCGTGACGAAGTACTCGCAGTCGAACGACGTGACGGGCGGCAGGGGTACCTGCGCGCCGTCGGTGAAGGGCTCGAGGAGGGAGGCGCGGCACGCCTCGTCCACGACGACGAGCCAGCCGTGGGAGCAGCCGATGATGCGGTGGGGGCGCGCGCCGCCGCTGCCGAGGTACGCCGTCTTGACGACGTCGCCGTGGCGGGAGGAGAAGTCGACGGCGTTGGCGCCGGAGCAGAGCGCCACAAGGTGGAGGGAGTGGCGGCTGAGGCGAGGGCCCGCCGCGCTCGCCGCGCGCCGCCACGACTTGCAGACGGCGGCAAACACGGCGCGGTCGTCGCCATGGACGCGCTGGGAGATGTCCTCGAGGATCACCGGCAGAAGGTCGGACCAGTCGACGAGTGCGGCGATGCCGTCCGCCGCCGCCACCGCCATTATCGCGAGTTCACCGCGCGCCGCGTACCTTCACTTCACATTTAAGATAAGATCGCGGCGCGAGAATCGAGGATGAAATTTGAGGTCGTTCGCTTCGCAGTTAAAATCGCGGCCTCAACGTGGATGGAATTTGAAGACGCAACGGATGGATTTTTTTGGTAACGGTCACAAAGAAGGCAAGTCATCTAGGGCCTATTTGGTTCTCTACCCTACCAATTAATTGGTAGTACCAAAATCTAGGCAAATTTTGGCACTACCAATTTCTTGGTAGAGCAAAGTTAGCTAATCTATGTTTGGTTTAATACCAATATAAAGCCAAAATTTAGTATGAGAGTGAAGAAGATTTTAGAATGTAGCCAAATTGAGCGTGGGCACTACCAATTGTTTGGCTTCAATCCAAACTAGCATGTTTACTATTAAAGTTACCAAAATTTTGGTAGGGTCACGTTTTGGCTTCAATCCAAAACGACCCCTAATCTTGTGGAATTTGATATATTCTGTACAACGTCTCAAAGCCGTTCCATACGTGATACAGGTTGATGCTAAAAGTTGCCATGTTTTGGTTCCGTATATCAGAAGCTGAAAATTTGGACTAGCTTGTCAAAGCCATAGTAATAATCTGGAAGCAGGGGCGGACGTGCCCATTAGGCGGCATGGGGCGACGGCCGGCCCAGCTATGGCCCGCGCCGCCCCACCCCGGCCCATACCACAGTTTTGCTTTCTCGCTACCGCATCGTTGCGCCAACGCTTCGTCTTCGCACAAGGACCGCGACTCCGCACACCGTCTCGCACTTGCTCGCTACCGCCGTCCCGCACTGCCACACCGGCCACCGGCGCACGCGACGATGACGCCTAGCTGCCGCCCGGCGCCGAGCGACGGCCGATGACTGGCCCGATGCCGCTCGCAGCCGGCGGCCAGCAGCTCTCTCCTCCTCGTCTCCTCCTCGCCTCTCGAGCCTCCTCCTGCTCGGCGCCAACGCAACGCCGTCGCTGTCAGCCCGACCATCGTCGCCTCACGTCTGCTCCGGCCGACCCGCTCCTTGGCCTGGCCGGCACTCCGCAGCACGGGCACAACAGCAACTAGCAGGCTGCAAGCTAGCGCCTAGCCGCCTGGCGCTAGCGAGTCAGCAACCTCAGTGGTAAGCCGGTAGGGGCAGTAGTAGCAGTTGGACCATTTTAATCAAATCATCCTCTTCCTTGGACCATTTTATTGTAGTCAAGTAACAAAGCAAATTTGATTGTTCTTCTTGCAAATGATCTGTTGCTGTCTAGATTAGTTAATCATCTGTTTAGGATAATGGAAATAGTTGGTACTCCTAGTTAACACTGTTCTACTGCATGTTATTTACTGTAAAAATGGAAGGCATGCGCAGTTACTTGCAATCTTGCATATTAATTATTTACTTGTCCTACTGCATCTTTTGGTGTATGATTAATTATATATGACGCAAATATTATTTCTTTGTCATAAAATGGTTTTGTTCGCCTCGAGTATATCTTTATGCGATTACGGTATAAATATGGTATTTGTTGCATTTAGGTGTCTTTATAAAGACAACATTTTCACTCCATCTTATTTTTAATCTTGCGTCCGCCACTGTCTGGAAGTAAGCCCATTGATCTGAATAAAAAGAAATAAAAACAACATAAGTATAAATTAGGAATAGTACAAATCGCAGGCACACGATGAAAAATACACAATACTGACACAATAACAAACGTATACACCCCTCTATCTCCAGGCTCGTGCTATACATGTTGACCTCTCCTCGCGTTCACAACCAATTACTGTACAGATACGCATACAGAAGTAGTCAGCACGTAGCACGGCCGCATACATATGTTTCGACCAACCGATGGTATGTTCAGACCCGACGGGAATTCTCTGCATTACCGCTGATATAGGATGAGCCACTATTATATAGGATCAAACTACTGGCTGCCGCTCGTAATTGCTACTGTACCAACAGCACTGCAGAGGATCCGTGTCCGTGTCAAATACGGGCATGGAAGCTAATGGGGTAGACCCTATCGGTGCTGGGGTAGAAGAGGCCCCAATTCTGCTCCACGCCGGCCTCCTTGAGGTTCTCGTTGAACATGGCGAACACGTACGTCTCCGTCTTCTTCCCGGGATGCCGCGGCGTGCCATTCCGGACGTGCCTCACCAGGTTCTGGTTGAATGTCATGGCGTTCTCCACCGACGCGCCCACGCCGCCCGCCGTCGGCCACCCGGTCTCAGACACCACCACCCTCACGTTCTCTCCCCCGAGCTTCGCCACCGCCGTGTACAGCGCGTCCACCGTCGCGTCGAACTGGTTCTGGTACCCGTACTCCCCGTCCTGCACCACCGCGCCGCTCGCCGTGAACAGCGCGAAGCTGATGTCCATGCCGCCCGGGTTGTATGAGTAGATGAAGTATGGGTACAGGTTGGCCAGCAGCGGCGCGTGCGTCCGTTCCAGGAATGGGATCACGTAGCTCATGAACGGCTTCGCCTCGTCGGTGAACTCGCCGGCGGACGGCGGGATGTGGACGCCGATGGTGGCCTGGGAGATCGACGTCGTCACCTTGATGTGTCCCAGCCCGGCCGCCGCGAGCGCGGCGTGGACGTTCTCCATGGCCGGGACGAGGAGCTGCGTGTCGGCGCCGGCGACCTCGTTGCCCACGACGACGAACCGGAACAGGACCGTCGGGTAGGCCTGGATGTTCTCGCGGATCCAGGCGGCCGCGGCGGCGGTCCCGCCGTGCGCCAGGGCGGGGAGGTCGTAGTTGGGCGCGCCGACGACGACGCGGATGCCCGTGCCGCCGAGCGCCGCGAGCGCGGCGCTGTCCGGCGCGTAGAGGCGCACGACGGTGAAGCCGTTCTCGCGGAGCATCTCGGTGACCTTGCTCGCCGGCGGCAGGTTGTCGCCGCTCATGCCCCAGCATACTCCAACCGCTGCCGTTCCTGTCTCAGATTCCATTTCAACCTTTGTCAAATTAAAGCTTAAGCTTCTGATTTGATTTTTTTTGCAGTATACGTAGGTTAATCGCTACCGCATTTTATAGTAACCCGAACTTTAATTTGTAGGCACGCAAGCAAGAAATTAACGTAACGTAGGTACGTATGTAGCTTGCAAAGACGCAATGACAAACAAAATCGAGAAGGCAATCATATATACACCGTACATTAGCATGCGTGGAAGGATCCCTCTTGAACTTTATTGCTGGAATTGCCGTTGTGTTGCCAACAATTAAAATGGCACTCCCTCCAGTCGTCAGGGATGATCAAACTTTTAAAAATTATAGCAGTCAATTTATATTAGAGTAAGTTTATTAAAACCTAACAAATCTATATATTTGATAATGTTTTTCAAGTCAAATCAATTTGTACTGTTTTTTTAACTAAGTATTTGAGAAATTGTTGACGGTTGAAATTTTAATATTTGAGTTCATGTTTCGTAGAAGATGAGATGAGATGGTTGAGGAGCACAGACAGTGAGATCAGACCGGAAGGACCGGCAAGGAGTCAATCCAAACCTCGTTCGACAAATTGACTTCAGCGACATCTCGGAAGAATAATTTAGACTCATGGAAACTGACGTTTAACTGAAAACGAAGATGTAGTAGTACAACTGCACTAGCACAGATTCCTAATTTCCGTCGTTTTTTTTCCCAATCGTAAGTGCTCTCTGATGGTACTCGCAACTAACTTATGTTCGTTAAAAACATGCACCTAATCGAGTTAGTTGACGGCAATTCTGCCAAAGTGCTTTACATACATTCAGAGTTTCAGACTCAGATACTTAGTCCGTCGAGCACCAGTTAAATAAACAAATCAGGTGGTGGAGCGTGCAATTTGCCGAAATTTGTTAGCTACCAAAGCAGAGCATGCAGTTCTTGACTAATTAAAGTTTCATGCATACTAGTAGCATTATTATTTGTCCATATCTTACATGTACAGACGAACTAACTAACCTCTGTTCTTTAGAAAGGAAAAGAAAAAAAAACAATAACCAAACAATCTGGTTCACAAAATCACAACCTAGCAAATTTGCCCATGCAAACAAAGTAGCTGTCAGGTAGAAAGCGAAGGACCACGTACGGGAAATGGAATTGAAAACGTCTGTTCCAACGTCTGCAGCACGACTGTTGGACAGTCCAATTCGTTCGCATGCATGCAGGCATGCAACCGTGTCCATTTCGATAGCTAACAGGATTACAGGACTGCACCAGCCTGCCCGTGATCACGGCCGGCCTCGCCGGTCGCGCTTGTTTGTTAATCAAGTGCAGAAAAGCCAAACGATGCAAAGAAACTTCCTTTTCGGCTTATGGACTAATGGATTGTCACCGGCAGTCATGGTACACTTTCTAAGCCTCTAAACGATGTACTCCAAAAATTTTCTTCACCAGCCTTTGTTAGAAACAATTTTTAAATCAACTTTTAAATTTTCTAATATTTAATTACTCTCAAATAACTGTTACGAACTCAGTTTGTGCTATCATCCATCAAAGGGATCGGGCTGAGTTCTTTCTCCAATTTTCTTAACTCATCTCCCTTATTTTTCACGCGCACGTTTTTTAAATTGCTAAACGGTACGTTTTTTATAAAAATTTTCTATATGAAAGTTGCTTTAAAAAATCATATTAATCGATTTTTCAAAAAAATGCTAATATTTAATTAATCATGTACTAAACTGCTCCATTTTACGTACGTGGAACGAACACAGCCTAGTCCATAGATTTTGGGCAAATGAGTTACTGACAAGCTGGTACGTGCGTACTTTCACCTCTCCTGAAGGAATCGTAATCTAGCGTGCAGTAGTGCTGGTAAACTATCACACATCATGCATCTTAATGACGCCCCTAAAACCAATTAATTTTCTAACAGAATCTAGCTTTGTGGTACCATACTAGTTTCTTAATACAGTAGTATGCGTAATCGTGCACGAATTTCACAGGAACGGTGAGAATTTTCCCGTGTTTCATCAAACCAAACGTTTGCATTGTATATTTCCATGCATAGCGTTCATGCTGAAGAAAGAGATGCGTCCTTGAATCTACGCTCGATTGCTTACATGTTTTGTTTTCTTACCGTGTTACCGTTTCACTAAATGAGTATCTCGCGTAACGCTTGTCATGTAGTACTAATGTGCAAGATAGTAACTCCACTACTTGAAATCAACAAACTCACTCGTACGTTCGGCAATGGCTTGCACACCAATTTCAACTTTTTCACGGCACAACTCTTCACATAGGACAATAAACTTTTCGCATTGCAAGCTAATACAAAAAACACAAGAACTAAACAGAAGCAGAGTATGCTAGAAGAAAAGCAGGGGAACAAAATCAGTGAGAGAGTTCTGTACCTGCTAGGATGGAGGCAAAGACTGCAAGTAGCAACGCCATGTCGAGCATGGAAGCAGCTGAAGACGCCATTCTCAAGCTCGACTCAACCTGTGACATCTGACCTGTTGTTGCTTCTTGCAGAGCCTAACGGCCACGAGCAGAAGCGCTACTACTCCCGGCTTATATAGGAAGGTGAGAACAACGCCAAAATGTGTTTGGCTCATACTGGCCAATAGGATTGAATTCTTGGTCTGAATTAACTTTGCCATGTTCAACCAATTCATGGATGGATGGACAACGATGACTTCGACAAGAAAAAATAGGCAGGAGATAGTCGAAGGTCACACTCTGTTCGGTACAGGTAGGCAGTGGCGAAGACAGGACAAAAGTAGAGCAAAGACCATTAGCCAAAGGTAACATGAGATTAGTGAGTCAAACACATCTCTAACACTCCGAGAGTATATGCTGTGCCCAATAGATTTCCTTTCGAGTATTGGAGAGAAATCGTTTTCTTTGTTATTGGGTTATCAATTAATCATCCATAATAGCTTGAACTAACCATCTTGATGTACCATTAAATTGATTACACAGTTCCTAACTGTGTACTTTCCGCTTGGTGGGTTGTTTTCATCTCAATCCTTCCTCTTAATTACGCCAAAGTTAGAAGTTTGTATCCTTTGAAAATTATTGCATTTTTAAGAAGATTTCGCTCTAATTGGACTTAATTTTTTTATAGCAAATTTTAGTTTTTAGTTGTTTTTCAGCCGTGACACATTTTTACATTGTCTTTCAGTAGCCCATAGCAAAATATGTCTTTTCCTTAACATGAATGAACTTGAATCAACTTGTTAGAGTATATGGAAGTTAGAGTTATATTAGGATATCCTTCCTCTTAATTACGCCAAAGTTAGAAGTTTGTATCCTTTGAAAATTATTGCATTTTTAAGAAGATTTCGCTCTAATTGGACTTAATTTTTTTTATAGCAAATTTTAGTTTTTAGTTGTTTTTCAGCCGTGACACATTTTTACATTGTCTTTCAGTAGCCCATAGCAAAATATGTCTTTTCTTTAACATGAATGAACTTGAATCAACTTGTTAGAGTATATGGAAGTTAGAGTTATATTAGGATAGGATTGGTTTGTTTGGATTCCTTCCATATCTGTAATCCTTCCTTATCTCTTCCCCATATACTCCTATATATATTGACCCCCTGAGGCTCAATACAATGTGTCCAATATTCGCAGTATCCTCTCCCCCTATACTATCCAACATGGTATCAGAGCAGGCGATCTAGCGCCGCTCTCACGCTTCCGCCGCCGCCGCCCCCGGGAGTAGCGATCTCCCGAGGGCGGCCACCCGTTTTTTTTTCCGTTCGTCATTCGCATCTGCGTCGTCGTCATGAGATGATCGATCTCGATCTTCTTGGACGGCATGTCTTCGTCATTACGTCGTCTTCGTCAAGTCGCGCCGCCGAGTAGATCGATCTCCTCGGCGGGGCTCGTTTTTCGTCGAGTCAACAGCAGCTACGTCGATCTGGTGATCTTGGAAGCCACGGCGTCCGTCTCTGCTCCAGCCCCGTCGCCCGAGTTCCGCCGGCGCGGCCCCGACGGCCGGATCCCGAGCCGCTCGGTCCATGCCGACCGCCGGATCCCGAGCCGTCGCCAGCCTCCACCACCTCCAGATCCACTCAGCCGGTTCGCCGGCTCATCCTCCGTCTCTTCACCGCGCCGAGGTCCACAGCCGGCGTCGCCGGGCTCCCTCTGCCGTGCCGTCTTCACCGTCGACACACGGACGCCATCGGCGCGCCAGGGCCCTGCAGCCGGCCGGACTCATCCCGGCCGCATCCCTGCACCGCCACGCCCTCCGACTCCGCCGCCTTTCGTCTCCACCACCTGCGCCCTCTCCTGACGTCGGCTGTCAGCACCGCCGGGCCTGACACGTGACACCCTGTCCTGTTTTTTTTCTCTTCTGTGAACTTGCTTGACTGCAAGGGAGGAGAGAGAGAAGTGTAGACATGGAGTTTCATGGATGGCTGGCTCTGGCTGTGGAGGTCTGGAGAGGACAGATGTGCATGCGTCATTGGTGCTGGTACCGTTGAGGCAGAGAGATTGCTGGACTTGGTCTATGGACCGACACCATTGAGGAAGAGATGTGGTGTTACCGTGTTGCTGCTGCTGTACATGTGTGTGTCTGTTTTTTTTTCCTGATCATAGATCGGGTTTGCGTCGCCCACCGCCTCGTCGACTTCTACACATCTCCGACATCGGCATCGACTCTGCTTTGACTTCATCGTTCAGCCCCACGCATCTTCGGCTTGATCACCCGTTCAGGCTCCCGGCTACAACGACTTCTGCAACCGATCGTCATCGAGCATGCGTCTACGCCATTAAGCTTCGGGTTGCCGCTGCGTCGCCCCCTTGGGCCGCAGTGCCACCGCCCGTGGTCCACCTCCACTTGTTGTTGGAACGCTGAGAGGCGCCCTCCTCAGCATGGCCTCCCTACTAGTGGAGTTCTCGCCGCTGCATCGACATCAAGCTGCACCTGTGTTGCCCCTATGGGTCACGATGTTGCCCCTCGTCGTCTTCATCGCCGTTCGCGCTTCGACACCCTCGTCATCCGCACTGGTCATCGTCAGCCGCTCAGGGTCTTCTTCGTCTACTTCGAGCATCGTCGCCGCATCTCCAAGCTGCCACCGTCGCCGCTCTAGGCCGGTGGTCCAGCTACCTCTACATGGTTACTGACGTCGCCATCCAGGCCGTTGGTCCCACTACTTCGCCTTCGTCTTCGTCCAGCATGATTCATCGCCAGTGTCGCCGTATCTTCCTCGACTACACTTCGCTCTTCTCCGGCAACTGCGTGCTGCTCCGGCAATTCTCCCTCTACGTCGTTCTCGCGCCGCGACCGTCCCGGAGGCCTTCTCTGCTAGTCTCCTCCGACATTGGCGTATGATTCATGGTGGTCCCCTACTAACTTTCATTGTTGTAGACATCAATAAGTGGCATCTACATCAGCAAAATAGGAAGATCACTTCCATTTCGAACAATAAAATAAGAGATAATCCAACAAATATCATTGACAAGCGGCTAAATCTAAGAAATACCATTAACAAGTTCGTCACCGTCGCCTCCCCATGATTATATATATGTTCCAAGAATATCGAATTCTCGCTTCGAATCCCCTCTTTGGCTTCCCCATGTTTTGCCGAGTTCAAATATTCGATTTGAATTCAAATCCCGCACCAATTGCCCCCAAATCCCTTAAAGCGATTTCCTGGTAAAAGTCTACTTTACCTCCCTCATATTCGCTTGGGCCGAATCCGGCCATGGCCTGGCCTGCATCTCCTCTCCCACGTGCGTCGCGCGTGACCACTTTCTCTCTCTCTCTCTCGCCGCTTCCTGCCGACGCCACCCAAAATCCGGCCGCGTCGTTCGATTTTCACGCGCGCGCGCGATGACCGACCGTCCGCCCGGTCGCCGCTGCCGTCAGCACTGGGCTGCCTGCTGTTGTTGACGGTCGTTATCGATCAGTTTCGACCGTCAATATTACCAAAATAGAGGAGAACTAGTGATGCTTGCAATTTATATATACTACCTCCATTATTTTAATAGATGATGCCGTTGACTTTTTCTCACATGTTTGACTATTCGTCTTATTCAAAAAATTTATGCAAATATATAAGATATAAATCACACTTAAAGTACTATGAGTGATAAAACACCTCATAACAAAATAAATTATAATTACGTAAATTTTTTGAATAAGATGAATGGTCAAACATGTGAGAAAAAGTCAACGGCGTCATCTATTAAAAAAGAAGAGAGTATGTTAGAATAATAATATTCCACTAGTATTAGGTTCACTAACCTTGTGCGGAGAATAATCATAAAGTGGAGGAGAATCGACATCAACACAGACGATAAATCAATCGGATGATGTCGAGAACCAGACTTATATATGAATGGACCAAGACTCGGAATTGACACGACAAACTGGGCCAAAATTCACAAGTCTGTGGAGAAGAACAACGGAGGAGGCCGCCAGCCGAAATTGGGCTAGATTGGGCAGGCCCCAGGTTCGGCTGAACCCTCCTCAGTGCCATCCGATCCAGGGCTTCGCCTGGAAGGTGTGGATTAGCCCCCAATGACGGTTAGAGGGTATTTCCGACCATTCCAACATTCACAACGCCATTGGAAGGCTATAAAAGGAGTTGCCATTCCCACTTCACTCACACACCTCAAGTAAAGTTCTCTCATATTCTCTCAAGTTTAGTTTAGTAGTATCAAGCTAGTGGAATAGGAATAGAGTAGAAATTAGGAGTCCGGAAGTCTTCGAAAGAGTTCGGGTATGGCTTTAGTAGCTTTCCTATCTTCTTTTGTAAGCTTTGTAGTATTATTAAATATTCTTCTTTATACATTTATGGTATTGGAATACTTTCCGAGAGTATGAATGCCAATTTTACATTATGTTCATGTTATACTGAATATGCTGCTAGCTTATCTGGGAGATGCTTTGGTGCGGGTATAATGTTTACTTATGCATTTACTCTATGTCATGATGATGATATTAGAGTAGTATCTGGAAGTTTAGACGTGGTGTCTAGATTACGTGATATCATTATTTGGGGTTATATGCTGCGGATGAGAGGTGGGCCGCTGATGGTGACAGCTCAGTACGGGTATTCCTCCGCGCGTGTATATGATCCTAAGTTAATTCCCTGGGGAGGATATTCCTCCGTATTTAGCCCCGATTGTATGGTCATGACGGGCTGTCATAAGGAACTCGACAGTTAGGGGTGGCTTCTCGAAGTACCAGAAGGGCATCGGATAGAGAGTATTAGCTAGTATATCAGATAACTAGAATGTATGTATACTAGAAGTATAGGAATATATTTTCTTTCTCATTTCTTTCCACTTAGCTTAGATAATATATTATGAGAATGAGTAGCTATTGCTTGTGTGTCACTCTACCCTTGGATTATCTTAACCCCTGCTCAGGATATGATTATCACAAGTAATATATAAATTATTAGTCAAGTTCTCTCTACATGATATTCTCATGGGATAAAATAAATACGATACCCTTGGGTGAAATACTACAATGGTATATGCGTGAGCTTACGGATAAACTCTGTAACCATAATATACCATGAATATTTCTGCGTCATTGTTAGAAATTATATTTCTAGTA